AGAGAGAGAGAGAGAAAGCGCGAAAGCGGGGCAAAGTGAGACGGAGAGGGCGGGCGCGAACGACGTAGCGAGAGGAGTCACAGTCCAGTTGAGGCGCAAGGGTCCTCCGGTTAAGGACGACGGTCCCTGGCAGTCCGGGACATTATGCCAGGCGGCGAGGGGTCCCCGATCAATCTCCTCGACGATCACCGCCACCACCATCGCGCGTCGACCACGTCCGCGACGGACGAGTGCGCGAACGGCGACGATGTCAGGACGACAGCGGCGTCAACGGCGAACACCGCTGGTGCGACCTTCACCAGCGCGATGACGAGCGCCCTAGCGGGCGAGGGTCTCCGGCGCAGAAAGGTCATACATGCGGCCAAGGAGACCTTCGACAAAGGTGAGTCGAGAGCCCTTTATTTTTTTTTTTTCTTGCTCCCCCTCGCCGCGGTACCGTCGCGCGCGTTCGTCGCTCCTTTTGCGAAACCTCGCGCAACCCGCTCGCCGCCGCGCGGGTACCAGCCCCGGAGTCGACTGGCCCCCCCGGTCGGCTCTCGGGCGCGCGGATATCGGGATCGATCACCTTTTCGCAAACGTGATATCGGCCTGCGGCCCGACGCAGGACACGCTCCGATCCGCTTCCGCCTTCGTTTTGACAAAGCGACCGCGGCGGAGCGAGGCGACCGCATTAATCCCGACTCGAGTCAGGGTGATTCCTGATTCGACGGGCCGACCGCCGTCGCATGTCGCCTCTGGCGACGATCAGTGACCGGGGAAATAGAGACCTGCGGAGATGCGGTCGATTAATTTTCATAAGCCAAATCGAGTGTTCGGGCCTGCGGTGTCTCGAACGTTTGCACAAGTTGTTGCGCGCTTTGTATATTTATGAATTAAATTGGTTACGCGTGAAACAAACGGATCCGCGTATTGATAAATATTAATCGACGCGATACGATAGACGCGACGTGATAAATTCCGCTGTGCGGTTATTATCGCGTTTTCGAATTATTAACGCTTTTACGGATGCATCCAGTATGCCGGAATCGTTCCGTCGATGCATCTACGAACATGTCGTGACTCATAAATAATGCATAAACGGGAGTTCGATGAATTCATGCGGGTTTCGATAATACAACGAAAGGCGACACTACGCTCGATTTACAGTGATAAATATTCTTGCGAAAGATGCATATTTTATGTCATCTTAATCTCTTTTTGACGACGCCGCTGTTTCCAGACCGCCATGTTGCAGTTGCATTTTCGAAATGGTTGCTGTTTACTGTTATTGCACTTATGCGGGTCACTGTAAATATATCGTCAAAGCGCTCGCGATCGAAATATCGAATACAAATTGCTTCAGTGATGGATCCTTTGTTGACGGAACGCATTTTCCACGGGATGCACAATGCATCCGCTGTGCAATTGAAATTTTCTATTATCTATTCAATAATCTATATCACGTATAACAAACTAATATCAAGATTGAACAACGTCAAATTTAAACTCGTCGCTTTACTTCTCATCTTCTTCGAAGCTAGAACACAGATGAGATACAGAAAAATCCGAAAATATATAAATAGCAACATAAGTTTAATAAATCTATACTTATATTTTTAGTAGCATTAATTAACAAATAAATAACTAATTAATTACTATTATTAATATTAAATATAAAATATCTCTGTTGCCGAGAAAAAATAATAATAAGATGATTAGCGTAAATGTGAAATGTCTTAATCAAAGATAAATTATTTAGAAGTATTGTTTATAAGATAACATTAGGTTTACCTCACACAAGTTTAAATCCGTTATTTATTTTATGTAAGAATCCATTCTTGTTATAAAAATATCTGCGGTTCGCGAAATGGTGCAGTGTTACGTCGTCGAATCTCGTCGCTTCACCTACGCTTTACCAATTTTAACATTTGACGTACTTTATGCGCGCATAAGAGTTACGTAAGAACTTCGCACGTGGAGCGAATACATTAAACATAAACAAAATAGTTTAGACACTCTTTGATCCTAAAGATAGCCCTACGGAAGAATTTGTGTCTCGTCAAAATTTTCTCGTATATCAACCCAGTAACTCTTTCTTCGGGATTACGGAATTTACGTCGCAGAAGTCACATTTATTTTCTCAAAGAAATGTGTTCTGCGAAAAAATCTCTATTCAATTCGATGCGATTGCATTTTACTGCATTTTAAATAATGTGACGCGATTTCACGATAGAATGGAAACTGCGACAAACCGTGACTATCTTTTAACAAACGTGAAATTTTAGCGCTTTCCGAAGTTCTGTGCTTCAAAAACTTCTTATTAACTAATCGAATTTGATTAGCGCGGATTCCGCGCGAAACTAACTGCGAACTTCAGTCCCAATTTCGCCGAAGGCAACGCTCACCCGAATTCATTCGACACATAGTGCGAAGTTTCGCTAATGCAGAAGATCGAGAATATCCGAAGTTCTATACTAGTTCTCTATGTATTTTCGCCATTCTCTTTTGTTTCAAGATTTGAATAGGTACATCAATTCGAAATTCAAATCTTAGGTTAATCAATTCAGAAACAAGTTTTATGTCGGACGGATTTTCGTACGGGCGCGATATTTCTTCGAATTTTGTAAATATTAAAAAGGGGGACAGCTCTGTCGATTGTGAAGTTAAAAAAACCTGGAGGATCGCCAGTAGAAGGCACGGGCTCTTGGAAGGCATAAAGCGACGGGGAACGCTTAGCGTTTGTTAACGTCGTTCCCAATCGCGCTGCTCGAATACGGCTACTCGACCTGTTTTTGTGTCACATCACAATTGCGCATTGAACCAAATGATGCGGCACGCTGTACGTTATCCGCATTATATATTATCCACTGATTGTCGGTAAAAAACTCGAAGCAACGTTCATGCCTTTTAGACGACTTTTGGACGAAAAATCGATGGCTAATTATTTCCCTGATTTTTAATCGAAATTTTAATGTGAATTTCCATGATTAATCCGTTTTCCATTTAATGACGCAATCAATTATTGCGAGTGTACAACTGGAACAAACGCCATTGTTTACAATGCGCTATTTTTTTTGTTTATTTACATATTATTTAACCAATTTAATTTTTTTTTTCAAAAATTTAATTGAGCTCCGTATATCGCATCTTTTCCTCGTCACTCTTTTCCTCGTCACTCTTTTCGACCTTGTATATCTTTTCGCACAATAAATCGCTTCTCGCTACTCTCTGCTAAAAGTCTTCATAAAGATGCGATCTTTCGACTTTTACACGGCTAAGTTAAATTACATCCTTAAGATAAAGACGAGATTTATATACCTCGTAATACATCGGTGACTATACTATTGTTAAGAAGATATCATAAAAGAACGTTGAGCTTATGTAATATGTTTCGAACGAGGGTGTCGTAATGTAAACTGTAATATCATCGATTTTCGATTAGCAGTTCTGAATTATGGCTTAAGAAACAGTCGTAAAAATACTTTAGCGCTTATACAAAATAAAATGTACAGTTAAATAAAAGTTCAAGATATATCGCGTTTTTTTGCGTCTTAAAGAAAACTTCCATTAAGACCGCGTTATTTCTTTAAAATCGCATCAATTTTATTTTATTTATACGTTTTCTTTTGCGCAATTGCCCCGCAATTATTTATGAATGAGTTTTCTTCTTGCGCAATCTGAAAAAGCTCCGCTCTTGTAATTCCACCGGCTTCTCCGATGCTATCCGATGTCACCGGACTGCAGGTAGACAAAGTTCTCGTGCATTGACCTCATTCCGAGAGTATCGAGCCGATGAAGCATTAATTCTCCGTAAAAAAAAAAATACGAAACACGACTCGTATGCATTGTAGAATGCGAAGAATGCGACCGTCGCGGGCCAGCAATCGTGCGCCTGTAACAAATTCCAAGCGCGTTAGAATATATTTGTGCAACGATCCACATTCTTAAACGCAAACGCGCATAATTGGCGTGTAAGAAAACATTTCGTCTAAATGCGACGTTCCTGACGGCGACGGTGTTAAACGGCGTTTTAAGCGGAAACGCGCGATTTCTCGTTCGCGGCAATCGCGCCCGTAATTTCCGTGCTTTGTGCTTGCGCCGTTCGTTGATGTAGATAACGTGCGCCCCCCGGCAACACTCTGCGCAAGAGTACACGTACATCTGTATATACGCGCGGGCTGTGACGTAAGAGAGATTCTCCCTCTTCTCAACCCCCCAAAACGAGACGCGGCGGTAGCATTTCAGCGCTGGTTCATCCGAAGGGATTCGGAATGGGGACCTTCTGAGGCAGCTTAACCGCAGCGTGTATTCTAGATCTCGGAGGTGCGAATTTCTGGCCCGACGGCTTGCGAATTATTAATTATTCAAATAGTTATATGCGCCAGCGAACTGCGGCGTACTAAATTATTATACTAATAATCGAAAGACGAATGTAAAATTCATAAAATCTATGACTATTTTTTTTTAGCATCAAATATTTATATTTTTACAAACAATCTTTTCGTACGATATGTGTCTATTTCGGGGATGGTTTAAGAGAATCAGTTTTGAAAAGACGAAGACAAAGGACTTGTTTGCGCTCATGTTACGCGTCACGTGTTGAAGTTTATATCCTTCCTTTCAAGTAATGTGAAATATATAAGGAACAAAGAAGTAAAGAAAATATATTATCAGGAGATCTTTTGTTGCCGTGACTCGCTCGTATAATATCGCGCGTAGAAATCGCGAAGGAATGGTGTTAATGAAAACCGTAATTAGGATTACATATCGTGCGCTGGGAAATAACAAAGTAGGTACAAAACACAGGAGTAAATCAGACACACTAGCGTTGGCAATGGTCTCAGTCAACTACTGTTGGAACTCTGCCACCTCATTTACACTATCTGTATTGTCTTTAATTGTTGGGTAGACTCCAAAAACTTTGACGTAATAGGTCTTCGACATGTAGAGCTGATTTTCATCATTACAATACCGCCATTTTTACAGCAGTAATTTTGAAAAAAAAATTTCTGCGCACGAGTAATTTAATAAACTATCTATATGCAAATAAAGGACCGGTATTTTATAGATTTTGTGCAGATGAAATTATTTGCATTATTTGTTCGATTTGAAACTAACGACTCTCTAAAATTATACAAAGTTGTAGAATATACGTGTTATATCCCGTGAATAACGTATTTCCGGTGAGAAATTTTAAGTTTGGTGAACGATATAGATAAATGTCCACGTTCACGCCTACGCAAGGAGTCCGAATAATCGCAGATACTTTATCTTGTCAAGTTTTTAGTCGTTCGTTATACGTTTTCGTGTATGTGAGATTAATGGTCGCACCTTTTGCGCTGTAGTATAATTTATCGCTCGGTTTCTGCGTTACACGTGTTTGGAGGAAACGATTAAGTAGCAGATTTGTACGATGTCGATTAACTTCAGCCGTAGTTTAATTGTTTCTCTGTCTCCTTTCGGAAACTGCGAAACAATCAAACTACGACTAAGTAAATTCACGTCAGAGAAATTAGTCCTAAATTGTGACACAAACATGATTTACATTTGCAAGCAATGTATACGAATTTGTAATATGCGCATTACAGCGAATATTACTCTTACAATCTCATCTGCTTACTACATTTTCCTGAATAATTGATCAGAAAAAATTAATAGTTAAAAATATCTTTTTTTTCTTCTTTATCTCATTTCTTTCTTCAAAATTATCTATAACTCGTTGCGTATATATTATTGTGTGTTTCACGTGCAACTTGTGAGCATATGCAGGTTGTAAGCAAACATTAAAAAAAATTGCTAAGCTCCTGTGATGAAAGTATAAATTTACACGCAAAATTTACATAACTGATATATGCTTCGGATAACTCACATGGAAAAAAAAGGAATCGATGTCCCCTTTTTTCCATTAAAAATACACACATGATCGCGTCTCGTTATAAAAACGACAGATGTGAAATTTTCAACGCATTTTCAACGAGGAGCTATTTCAGAAATTGCCTTTTAATGTTGCAATGTGCATAAATTTATTTTCTCGATAATAAGGTCGAGGTCCAATCTACGGCATAATTCGAAAATCGATTTTTAAAATGGTTATACTTATGCCAAGCTGAGGCAATTCGTGTCGATTTATGTAAGAGAGATTAGACACGTGTCATATTAATGTATAATCGGGAAAGTTTGCTTGTGCAAAGATTGCAATGCAAATCGGGGTATTGAAGCTAGTAATTATCAATAATTCAACGTAGTATCTAAAATAACCGAATATCCGATTTCATTTTTATAAATGTCTATCCTAGTGCGAGTTTAATGATCTCAGTAATCATAGAAGTGTGTTTCTTGCAGCATCCCGTCTTCTGAGACGAAAAATACCATGTACGGGCCATCTAATGACCCCCCGCCGCCTATGGATACAAAAGGTTCCTACACAGGTACGTACGTCTCATAAATATACAGTTCAAAAAATTAAAACTTGCTTTTCATATCGCAAATAATAGAAGCATCGGCAGAAATTGATATTTTTCGACTACGCAGCAATGCAAAATTTCGTTGAAATTACCTTTTGCGGCGCAAAATATTTGAAATACTCCAATAGCGGTGTAATTCGATTGCGAAAATTCGAGAATATTACTTATACAAATCATCGTATTATCTACAATAAATTGATGCATGCCAATATCGTGGCATTTTTAGTGCATTCGGTATGCAACAATTATTTACTGCAATTTGTAATTGATTTCCAACAATATTAAAATATTGAAATATGAGTAGCTGCGTTTCACACCGGTCATTCTACACTTGACGCACGAATACCTTTTTACGATGAAAGTTAATACCGGCGTTCTCGTTCGCTTAATGCAATATCGCTCGTATAACATCATTTTTACACTCGACTGCCGTAGATGACCGTAGACGATAACAGCAGTTTTGCGCGCTACCGCTAGCCATTAGATATATACTCGAGTATCTCCGTTCCTTTTTCGTGCACGTGACCGTTCATTTCAATTATGGCTCTACGGTACAACGTCGCGAAAAATTAATCCGACGAAAGAAAATTGCGTCGGCATAAAAACACGGAATAGGAATGAATTTTATTCTACGCAAACAGACAGGTGAGGAAATCTATTCCCGCATTGATTCGCTTTGCTAAATATTCCGTACGAATGCGAGCGACAATCATTCAAGAAAATGGCTCCACGGAGGCAACGATATCGATCCTGCACATTAAGCTATTAGTGGATATCGAAGAAGTTTGCGTGTACTGCGATGTTTACTTCCAAGCTACATTGTTGATTTTCTACTATTCTGTTTGCCCTCTTCTCTACCCCGTCTTAAGTTGCGAGTTCGATTTTCGCCGTATTAACACGGTGAATTTATCTTCGGTATGTTATCTTACGGAGTACGAGGATGTTGACAATCTAAAGAGCTTCGGGCGATGTGTCGCGCAAATTATTCTCGAAAATATTTTAACGCAAAGTTGACTTCGGTTGTAACTCGAAATGTCCTCCTCTTTCCAGCAAACGGTCAAAGTTTTTACCACTCGTTACGAGACATCCTGCAAGCACCGCGAGCTCTATCTACTACGAGCCTCTCTTATTGTCTTTTCAAGTAGGTCGTCAGGGTATAATGACAATTGTGGCGCGACAAAGCACCGGTGATAATGCGATGTACTTTATCGCGTATCGCCAGCCGCGTCTACTTATTGCGCGCGAAGCATAATCGCGGGCTTTGTTTCTATTATTAAGTACCGGTCGCTATCGATTTCACATAACTTTGTTTAATGTGTGCGCTGCGAAATGGATGATCTATTTTCCGATGAAACTTTATGTTGTTTTTTTCCAAGAAAAAAAAATATGTATCAAATAAATGTTGGTTGTATAAAAAATATTTGTCAGATTTATAAAATTGCTTTTATAATACATTAATATCACAAAACATCTCTTCAGCTCTTGCTTTTATGTTGAAAAAAATGCTAATTTTTGTGGAAATTAATTGACTTGGAGCTTATATTTAACTCTATTGTTCAAAATTTTCATGCAAAATCATCTTCCTGTGACTCTAAAGAAAAAAATTACAATGCAACAGGTGCTCTAAATGTAATGTCATCTTAAAAAATGCAAGATTGCATATTACGCGTGACTCCTAAGTTAATTGTTTCCGTAATATTTATTTTCATTATTTGCAATAAAAAATTCTCTCTAACATGGATATTCAAAGAATATTATTATTAAAATGCATATTTTACAATAAGCATATTTTACAATAAGCAACGTTATATGTATCGCAAATTTTTTTTTAAATTAGCAATTGTTGTCACTTTATAGTACAATAAAAAGAATTATTATGTCACTGTAGAAAATTATAGAACTTTATTAACTACATAAAATAACCTGTTATCGATGGCATGGTTTAAATAAACATGTGGAAAAAAATTGATCGATTGCGCATACATAATCATTTATTTTTCTGACAGTGATGTCAGTTTTTTCGATTGACAATGGTTTCCACATCAAATCTTAGCATTGGAATCAGCATAAGTTGGCTAACGTCCAAATGGTCGTATAGCTCTTGGTATTGCCAGTACACGTACAACGATACCCCGATAATACGGCTGACCTACTAATGCACGTAACTACTTGGCCACGCCACGAAACCTTCGAGTGGTTTTTTTTTCGATTCCCCGACATCATTAATATCTTACGGAACGACGTGTAAGAACATTGAACTATTTCTTCGAAGGCATATACAACCTAATGGATCCATCTAATACTCCAATAAATTTAATTTACTTCACCAAGACTCTTTTTATGATTATTTCTGTATGAAATTAAACTGTCAATAAAATTCGTCCAAGAAAATGTGAAAACAATTATTTCTGACGTTTATAATACATTTCAAAACCATATTCTATGACATATATATAATAAAATTATAATGTCAATGTTGATTTCAGAAACAAAGCACGAGCAATTCAATAATAAACCGATCGAAAGTAGAAAATTTAAGTATAGTTTTAAAGAACTTTAATGAAAGATCTAGTATATTTCTAAACAAACTTTACATAAAAAATTAAGATTCAAAACTTCCCTTTAGAACATAGCATAATTCCATTAATACAGATACAGAAACAAAATTTGGCACTCAAAGATCTTCTTAATTTATTATTCTACACGAATATTGCGAACACGATCACATCTCCCATCATTCGAATGCACAAAGAGCCTAATAATTCGATTTTCTACAGGAATGCGATGTTGTGATGATGTTCCCCAACGGAGCAAGCGACGAGACCTTGATGTGGCTTCTAGGACGACTTCGGGCTGGAACCCCGGGGCTAATAGTTCACGTGCGACATCACGCCTCGTCGGATAGTTACGGGTTTTACCTCACGGCACCATTCAGCGTGTAAGTATTCGACGCTTGAAGAATTGTGTCGAGCGAACTCATTGACACGCTCAAGCACAAACGGCACGCGAGCAAAAAGTTGCACAGCTCTGATCCCACCGGTCTCGCCAGTCTGCTCAAGGCCGCCGAAGAGGTGCATCTACCCAAGTCTCTGCGACAGGAGTTCGGCGGCGGACTGAAGGAGTTCGTCGGCTCGGAGGCCAACTGCTTCGAGGGCAGCGACGACGAAGTCCGGTTCTTCACTACTCAGGAAAGGCAATCGTTGGTGCTGCACCTACTTCACACGATGAGGGCGGGTCCGCACGATCTTCACAGTCTGCCTGGTTTCAAGATGGTGGAGGGCCAAGCGATTATTCCAAAGTGCATCTCGTCCGGTATTATTTCTCAGGTGCGATATCCGCGCGTCGATCTTACGCCTGTCCCGAAATTTTCCTTCGACGAGAAAAAAGAATGATGCTTCTTCGTCAGGTCTTCCCTCTTCATGAATTACCCGCGTTAGAAAAACTGCAACGAACCTGGGTCCGCGCGTTCCTCAGCCCCCAGCCCTTGGACGACATTTGTAAATACTTCGGGGTGAAAATCACCATGTATTTCGCCTGGCTCGGCCACTACACCACCGCTTTGATCGTTCCTGCAGCAGTGGGTGTCATATACTGGGTACGTGTATATTTCGCATATATCAATACAATCTAAATAAAAAAAAAAACCAAACGAGTTACTATGAAGAATACTAACAAGAAAGCATGCGAAATAAAAGGAACAAAGCAAAATCCAACAAATTTGAACACAAACTAATTTTCTGTCAAGACAGATATTTAAAAATTCAAAAGTGGCAATTGTTTAATATAAAATTAATATGTGAAATAAAAAAGTTTTACTCTCTTTTGCGTGTTTACAATATTATATTAGTTGATTACATTTGATTTATTAATTGTTTGCGATTGATCATTTAATAATTATCGAATCCCGACCGTTTAGGTCGGCATCATCGGCAGGAACCAAGCGATGGAGGACGTGGCGTACGTTCTGTTTTCGGTGTTCAACGTGATATGGGCTACTACGTACTTGGAGACGTGGAAACGGCGGGGCGCGGAATTGGCGTACAGGTGGGGCACTTTGGATCAGAGGGACGATTTATTGGTCGAGCCTAGACCTCTGTTTACAGTAAGAACCTTTCGAACATTTTTACGCCTCAGCACTGCCGACGTCGGGCGTGACGTGGCGCTACTGCAGCGTCCACGCCCGCACAACGCTATGATAATAGATATGCTTACGCTACGTATATAAGCGAGAATAATATTGCGAATTTGGAGAAATTCACCCGCCAAAGATCACTCCGCCCGAGGAGTTCAATCGCGATTCTCATTGTGTTCAGGGAACCCTGGAGATCTCACCGGTGACGGGTAGACTAGAGCCAACGTATCCCAGGTGGCGAAGGAACATGTTTCGATACCTCGTGAGCGTGCCTATCATCGCAATCTGTTTACTCTTCGTCTTCATCGTTATGATTCTGAGCTTTCAGATACAGGTACGGGACAGCGTTGTGAAGCACATCCCTGATGGAAATATTTTTCTGAAAATATAACGAAATTTTGCTGAAATGTATTTGAAAATTTCTCTCAATTGATCCCATTAATTAATTTTATAAATATTTCAGCAATTTTTCATTAAAAAGTAACAGTTTTCAGTTTAATTCAGTAAATTTCATAATGATAATTATTTTAAAACTCTTTTCAGCAGTATATTTTAACTTTCCTTATATTTCATAGTATTGCATTAAATTTTCATACGGAAAATTATTATTTATTTTGAAATATATTTAGTAATTTTTCAAAAACTTTTATTTTACCTTTCATTGATTTCATAGTACTTTCAGCAAAATATTTCCATCAGATCCCATCAGATTGACTCCTAAAAACTATTTTTAATCATAGTCAGAGAAATTGCTCGTTAAAATTGTTCAAAAACTTTTAATCGAATATATCTACAAGTTTTTTTTTAACAAATTGTTCCGACTTAAAGCTGATAAATTCAAACGAACGTCAACACAATACGTTCATGAATAAATGAAATATTTTTGGAAAAAGTTTGTAATAACAGAATCTTCAGCTTGTCCTTTTGCGTAAAATCGCAGGACTGGTGGGACGCGCGTCTTGAATCCGGAGGCTACGGATTTTGGCTCAGTTACGTGCCAAAGGTGTTGCTCGCGGTGGTCATCGCGTTGATGGATGAGGCGTACTTCAAAGTCGCGGTGTGGTTAAACGATTTGGGTATGTATCCCAATAATCGGCCCCCTACACTTCGACACTGTCTTCCTCTATCTGTTCACTACTCCTTTTTTTCCCCTTCCCCTTTCTCTTTCTCTCTCGACATGATTGTATCTCCGTGCGAATCAAAATACGAACAACCGCCGACTTCATTTGCCGACTTCTTCGCATCGATTTGTGTATTCTACGGTACACTGTGCACGTCTAGTTCAAAAGCATAGCATATATATACTTTCGATAATTTTTCCACAGCTTAGCTTCTTCTAGAGAATAATTGAAAGACTATGTGACGAGAACGTTGTACATTTTACATGAAAAACATGTTGTTCTGCTCTTTCTGTGTGACAAAATACCTCCCGTGCGAAATACTGCCCGCGAAATAGATACAATTCTGTTCTTACTTAAATCTTGGAGAGCGTTCATGGTGCGGTAGATAGTATTTGTGATTTTTGTGTGTTGGACGCAGAAAACTATCGACTAGACACCGAGTACGAGAATCATCTGATCTACAAAGTGGCACTGGTAATAAGAAGAACTCTCCATTTTCAACGAATAGAATATCAGTGTTGTGTTAGACGTTGTGTACACATGTCCTCCTCTAATTAAACACGACGAATGACACTAGGTTGGTGCAGAAATTCCACCGTTTGTTTTTTTACATCATTCCACGATCTTATTATGTTCAAATTAAAAAAGAAATAAAGCCATTTCTTAACGACTACTCTCAATTAGGCAAAATTGTTCAATACTTCAATCATATTGTAGTTTGCCTGAATCGCTTAACTCAATGAGATTTCTCAATTTTTATATATTTCACGCTTAATTCTATTAAATTTTTTATTATATTATTGTATGCTTAATTTGTACTTTTTACTTGTTCTTTCACAAAGCCACCTCTTTACCGCTTAAGTTGTCCTTCAATTATATGTTTGAGTTTTTTTTTAATAATAAACTTTTTATGTAAAACATAAAAAGGAATGCGATATTCAGAGACGAAAATTAGGATAGAAATAGTTCTGATAATTCAGCTTTGTAATTTGCGACCCAGGCAAACGCGCGTAGCGTAAAATCGATGGCGAGTATTCCACTAATGACCATCCGAAGAAGAGCACTTGTATATTTAGAGGTGGACGTATAAAACAATACAAATATAGATTTTGAACATTTTTGTTTTAACGCAGAAGTGCCTGCTCTGGCTGTCTCTGTCGCTGCATGAACATTCTATTCGCAAGAGAACACTTTTTTGCTTATGCTTCCAATGATTTTACGTCATAGGCCTACGTAATTGCGCTTTTATGTGCATTTTATGTACATACAATATGTGTTAATGCCATTCGACGTCTCCGGATAATCCACAACGGCCGTCTAACATTTCAGTTTCAGTTTGTAAACTCCTTCCTATCACTGTTCTACATTGCCTTCTATCTACAAGATCAGGAGAGACTCAAGGAGGTGAGGATTTAATTACTTTGTTTTTTTTTTTTTTGGCGCGCTATAAACGAACATTATTGAACTAAAATAAAAATGCGAACTTTTTGTTTCAGCAATTGGCGGCTCTACTCATAGCACGCCAGGTGATCGGCAATCTGAAGGAATCCGCGATACCGTACTTGATCGAGCAGCTGCGACTGGCACGGCTGAGCTTCGAGCTGTTCGGCGCTTTGAGCCCCAGCGAGGCGAGGGCACCCCCCGGCGAGAAGGGTGAGGAGGCGGGGGAGGAGGGCGGCGCGAAGGACGGCGAGGAAAAGGAAGAGCGGCCCGACGGCGGCAAATCGAAGCAGCCGCGAAACGTCAGCCAGGCAGAACTGGAGAGTTCCCTCTACAGAGTAGGGCATCCCACTAATTCTCTACTTAGTGACGTTACGTTCAAGGTTTGGTCTAGATTTAGCCAATAGTCTTTTCGTTTCTGCCGGAGCACTACGCCGTACACGCATATCGAACTCGAGGCACTTACAGCCGAACGTAATACCTGTACAAAAGGCGAATGTCGGTGTGATTCTGTCGAGAGACGTCGAAGAGACGTTTAACGCGGATGCCTCCAGCTATGATGTCGCGCTGAGATTTCTCTCCTCGAGCTGTTTCGAGGGTATCGCTCGACGCTGCAAGTGGCTTGAACACTTCTCGCACCATAAACCGACCCATTGTCTCGCCGCTAAGATCTTTCCGTTCGTTTGTTCCTCCCGCTCGGATTGCAACCACCACGCACTATGGCATGACGTCCGAACCAAACTTACTAATAATAACATGAATACCGTGCTGTGTTTCTTGGTCATTTCTTTTTGCAGAATTTTTAATGATTTTTTCCCGTTTTATACACCATTTCCATCGACGACGCACAGATATCGACCAGAAAGGTAATGCCATACTCATGCTATCATTAAGTATCAGTCCTTTCCGTCATGAACGAACAATCGCGATTTGTCTCGCATGCATACTGCGCAATTTAATTGATTAAAATTATTGCTAATCAACATCCACGTAGCGACATGACGATTAAAATATTATTGTAATTTTGATTGTAATCAAATTAAATCTTATTCGATATTTGCACACGACAACAAATTTGCATTATTTCGAAAACAAAAGCATCAAATATTTTTTCCTAAAATATCGTGTAAAATAATATCGCAATAAGAATCTTTGCCAACATGGCAAGTGACTGAAAGGGATGAATTCTCATGGCTTATCATGCAGAGATCGCTGTTGTATTTACAATTTGTGTTGCGTTAAAATTTGATTTTCTTTAATATATGCACGATTTATGCTCAACACATTACGTATTTTATTGTATCAATTATTAAAGACACGAAAAATAAGCACTGAATATTTATAGTTTTAACATCATATTAATCAAATATTCTTACAGTTAATAATAATATTGAACTTTTATTATTCATTTTATTGCAAATATTGCCAGGTTTGTCTAAAGATTTTTTCTATATAATATATATTCTATATTATAAATAAAAGCTTTGATATAGAAAAATTAGCTAGAAAAAATACGCAAATATATAAGAAAAAAATAAATAATTTTTATAGTCAATTGATAGTTTTATAATATGTATGTCATGTATAAGTTTTTTTTTAACAATTTTACAAAATAAAAATGTTGTGACAATTGAATACTTGCCTGATCGTACAAGCTTAATGAATAATAATTTTCGATTCGCAGTATGATGGGGCGTTTTCGGAGCATTTGGAAATGCTATCGCAACTGGGATATGTCTGTCTCTTCTCTTCCGCATTTCCGCTCGCCGCGATGGCCGCGTTACTTGGAAATTTGCTCGAATTACGCGGCGACGCGTTCAAACTGTGTTTCGTGCTTCAACGACCCTTCGGACGCAGGGTTTCAAATATCGGCACATGGCAAGTAAGTGTGAAAAATAATCCACGAGAGCATAAATTCAAGAATAGATTAAACGCGCAAAATTAATAAATAAAGCTCATACGGATATTTATCTTATCTGATCTCTTATTTACTAGTTACATCATGTTCGGCAGCGTGTTGCTTTCGCTTCAATCTTCATGACAGATTATTATTGCAATTAATACCGAATGACGAAAGCAATTTTGCAACTCGAAAAGATAGACAAGGCAGATGCTTCTGGGAACTTTTGTTATTTACGTTGCGTTCGAAGCTCATTTGCGAAGTTATGTCAGATTAGGAAACACGCTGTATATATACATTGTGTGGAAATGCAGGCGGTCCCTCGTGCAATGCAAACTTAATTTGACAACTTTTGATAGAACGCGATGGAGGCGATGGGCCTGGTCGCTATTTTAGTGAATTGCGCCTTAATCGGACTAAGCGGGCAAGTGCAGCGGATGTTCCCCGAGATGTCGGCGACGCAAACGATCCTGCTGATCGTTGCGCTGGAGCACATCATGTTCGCTATTCGATTCGTGATCATTTGCGCGATTCCCGATATACCTCATTGGGTCGCCACCGAGATGGCTAAGGTGGAGTTCTTGAGGCGCGAGGCGGTCCGAAGATTGTCCTCGACCCCGTCACCGGAACAACAACCAACAACAATAATAGGTACATAGTACATCTTTATCTCTCTTTGTATAAATAGGCTGCCTAATATATGGAACTTTTAATTATTCTGCACAACTCCGTGAAAATCAATATCTTCGTGTTCTATTTTCATCTTTCCTCATCCGATAATTTCCCCTAACTACTGGCCTCTCCAACTACCAATCCACTGATCCTCTATCAGCGCGCAATAGTTCTTAACATTTCCGCCGTCAAACGTAGCCACAAAAGGAAAAGAAAATGGTAAAAAGAAATTTAAGTCTATATTTTGGCAATTGATCTCAGCGTCTAAAACTTCCGTCGGTGTTTTGTTAAATAAAACTGTGTTAATTCTGTTTTAAAAAAATTGGATTTTTGTTTTCAATATTTTCCTTTTTTGTGAGATTACTGAATTTTATTGTACACACACGCGCGCGCGTGAGGAAATTAATTATTAAATATAATCACTTTTTGATTTTAACATGCAATATGCAATGCGAGAAATATTGTATTTTCAAACTTTACGTAGCGATTTTACTTCACACGACAACGAAAATGTTAATCACTTTGCTCGCCGCGGTGCATCCTTCCTCCTCCACCGACTATTAATTTCGCTCGAACTCAGGGAGATTCGTGGTGAGTCCAGCAGACGGAGAGAGCGAAGAGCAGCATTTGCTTTCGGACCGCACCGGTTACGCGACGACGTCGAGTCAAGCGGACACCCCGACTCTGGGCTCGGCCACCCACACGCCGAGCGGGCCGACAACGCCGGTGCCGAGGATCGCGGAGACGCCACCCACGGCCGAGACTCCCGGCGGCAGCGGCGGAAGCAGCAGCGAGACCAGCACTCCATTCCTACCCGAGAATAATTCTAACGTCACCCGCGACATTCGCAACTCGCCGAGGTGTTCCATACCCGGAGGCGAGCGAGGTTCGGCTTTTTTTAAGCGGCTATCTTTTTATTAAAAAAAAAAATGTGTAAAAAAATCTACACAAATTATTGTAAATTAAATTTTAGAAATAAAATCGAGAAACCGCTGATGCGCCAGATTTCACTAATTTGGCAGTTGAATTTTCTCCGAATTGACAAGAAACTTTTCAGTAGGAAGACGCTCGAGGGATTGGTTGCCCAACGAGCCGGAAACATCCGGTGGCGATCAATTCAGCCATCATCTAACGATCGGACCACACGGCGGCGTTGACTGGGTGCGTCGATTAGGCCTAGAGCCGGGCGGACGGAAATCCAGCGATTCTGAAATTCATAGTGGCGCGGGCGCCGCGAGCGTGCGGGAGGAGGAATTGACTTTGCACAGGTCGACCGACTGCATCGTCTCCAAAGAGCTCGCCTCTTCCTCGGACAGCGATCTCCTCAGGTACAAAGAAGAGAATCTCTCTCATTTATCAACTTATCGCTGCTTGATTGCGTGCTCTAATTATAAAAAGAATGTCTTTTTACTGTTATAATTTTAATATTACGTAAAAAGATGCAGTATTAATATAACCGAAGTCATAATTAGCAAACTTATAATAAAAATAGAACCCAATAATGTTAAAATAAATATTTATTAATTTAGCTTGAAACTGAAGAAGGATAAAAAATCATTCTTCCAGCTTTTCCACATTAAGTATCTTCTTTATTTTCACTGATAAAAAGAAAACGTCTCTATAATTCTGCACTTACTTTTATCTCACTCTTACATTTTCAAATTGTTTTGTGTTTAAAGATCAGCACCGCCGTGGGCGATGGCTCACAGGAGCCAGAAGTTCCGCTTCTCGCCGGAAAAGGAGAAGGAGCGCGAGAAGGTGGAGAAGGTGGAGAAGGTGGAGAAAGTGGAAAAACAGCAGCACCAGTCTCACCATCAGCGACAGACGACTCACGAGCATCGCGAGCGACAGTCCTACCAGCCCGCCGAGAAGGAAAAGGACGTGAATCCGCCGGATTCCAGCAAGACGGCCTCCAGTCAGGACGAGACGCCCGCGGAGGACAAGACGAAGGAGGAGCGTGAGGCGAAGAAGACGCGCGTGAAGCAGAGCCTGATGAAGCGGGCGCGCTCGGTGGCGATCTTCTCGCTGAAGCTGAAGGAACGTCGCGCCCGGGAGGCCGAGCTCAAGGCCAAGGAGGCGGAGAGGGAGGCCAGGTGGCAGCAACCGCAGTCGTGCGTCGGCGGCGAGCTCTCGTGCATCCCCATAGAAAAGCTTATCTCCGTGGACGACATTGCGGCCATGGAAATGCGCCGAATGAATCATTAGCCGCTTGACTTGTCTCTTTCTCACACCTTTTGTTTTCTCGCTACGTAGAGAGCCGTTCGTGTACACCGCGACACGCGTGATGCGCGTCGGATGATCGATCGAGGCTCCATTATTCGCGTGGAGCTCCGCGAATATCTCCGACGGAGAGAGGATCCCCCGATCAGCGGCCGCGAGCAGGGGCGCGCGAGCGAACGAGAGAGAACAGGCGCACAATTTATCAAATCATCACAGATGCCTGCATCTGTGATGCAGGATCTTATAGACGACATTCCGTAGAAACTGATTCCGATGCCCCGCTCCCTAGATTCAGGGCATCGAACCGCAGCCCCCGCGGCTCGGGACGAGACGAAGACGCGCGAAAGGATATTCTTGAAAGATTGTCCTGATTTCTGAAAAAATATGGATCAAAAAATCCTCACGATTTGTTCAAACGAATGAGACGTAAAACTCTCGAATGCTATCAAAACAAGAAACGGAGGAAAAAAGATAAAGAATTTTACTAGTCTGACGAGACGATTTTGCAGAATAGGAAATCGCAGACTATTAGTACTTTGATCACAATTGTCGCAGTTCTCGTATTATATAAGTTTCTCTTCTCAAAGCGTTCCAAAGTCAAACATATCTGTTTAAGTAATTGTAAATTCGCTTCGATTCGATGCCTTGCTAAGTGGCAGATCCTCCTCCTAGCTTAGATCGCTCGACGCCGTAGGTCGTCGAGCCGCACACATTCCGTTCGTGCCGTCGACACTCTACGCCGAAATTGAATTACCTCCGTCGCTCCACGATGCGCGTGTGAAGAAAATCCGAATGGCGCAGACGCACGCGACGGTCCGACGCGATCCGCGGAGAGGAAGAGCGAAATGCTCGGCACACTCGCGAGGTCCTCTTAGAGAAATATATATAGTCGGGAGGATTATATGAGTCCGGTTACTCGCTGGGCACAGCGAGCGGTCGGCGCGAATTTCAACGAAGACGGAGGCAGGAACCTTGTTGTTGTTGCGGTAATAAGTTGTTAATTAATCTATAAAGAAAAAAAAATCTAGGCATTAATGGGTTAACGAACTTTTGCTAAATAGATCTCTACGAAGGCATATCACATCGTCAAGACCATCCACCGTCACCACCGCCGCCCTCCCAATTCCCGTGTCCTCGTGTAAGATGCGTTTCGACACGTGGATGCGCGACGAGTGCAGGATAAATTTGCGGTCACGCGCAAACTGGTGATGAGACAGAGTCAAGGATAGGGTGCATAGCACACACGAAGCTCTTCGTCCAGAAAAAAAGAAACGAATAAAAGGATCTAGAAACCGTTTTTGTATATAGCGAAAAGTGTTACGCAGATTGTAAAATCGGTTTCCATGGCCTAGCCTCATGTCCCCGTCCGCGGCTGAACTTTAGCGCAGAGTTGTTGAATATCACATACACATACACACAGAAACGTACACAACACGTATACATACATACATAAATATATATAAACACACACACACACACACACAGAGAGACACACAACATTTTATTACATTTACCGATATTGTTAGCGTTAGGATTAATCATTAGATGCATCCACATTAAGCACCGTTGAGCAAACCGATAATCGCGTTATATGTAGCGTGCCCTTCGGGAATTTGCAAGACTTGAGTGCATTAGATGCAAAATCGATAGATTAGCCGCTTTCGTAAAAGGCAGGTCGGAATACATTCAGCCGGAAGCATCTGTGTTTGTTAGATGTTTTGTATAAAACAGGGGAATTGAGCCAATAAAAATATTCTACGAAAGATCGATTCCATTTTGTTTCCTCGCATAAACAATTTTGACTTTTAGGTATGTATACAATAAGTGTCATACAACACGAATAATATTCCTCAATCTAGATATCAGTATGCGTTCTATACGTGATCAAAAAATACACATGAGAGTATTATAACGTACGTCCATAATAAGTAACTTGATAAATAAAAAGACGTTAATTACACATTTTCAAGTAGTTAAAATTGAAAACGAAATTGAACACGAAAAACAATATGTTCTTTACATTTAAATTGGTGTTAATAATTTTATTAATTGAAACGTGTGCAAATATCACGCAAGATGTCGAAAGAATATTGCTACCGGAATGGAACTCGACAAGTGTAGAGGAGGTACGTGAGTTTTACTATACAGCTTTATTCATTGCTCAACGTTCCAAACATTATTCGAGAATTATCGAGTTTTTTCTCAATTGTTATCTAATTTATAGATACCACTGACTCTGAAAGTTTTTGGAAAAGAGATTCAATTAAAATTACGTAGAAACGAACAGATAGTATCGTCTATGTTTAAAGTATGGAAACATGACACAATAGGCATCACAGAAAAGCTGTCGCAAATAAACGCATCGGATCCTTGCTATTATCTCCACAAAAATCATATCAGCACTGCGGCCATAAACTTTTGTCAGGAACATGGATGGGTCAGTATCATATGAGAAAAAAATTAGTTTTTTTTTACTTTTAATTTCTCTTTGTTTTATATATAAACATAATACGCAAGAACATTAACGTATATTTTTTAAAAGTAGAAAGGAATCGTGTATCTGAAGGACAATATTTTGGAAATTAGACCTTTGCTGGATGACTTTGCGTCTTTGTCCTCAATCGGTGATGTTTGCGTTAAAGATGAAATTAATATTTCATTTGGCAAACCTCATCTTATTAAAAGATCATTGCAATTATCTGCTGATTCAAGTTTTCATAATTTGGATAATTTTAAACTGAAACGACGTCATGTACGAAATACGCTAAGAAAATTAACTATAGAATTAGCTGTTTTCATCGATGAAAAATCATATCATAGATTTTTGTCTTTTTTCGACGAAAATGAGGAAACTTGGCGCAGCATGATATTAGCGTATGTGAATCGTATTCAAGCTGTGTTCCATCATCCGAGTTTGGGTGTTTCTTTCGATATTTCATTGGTGTGTTTGGAAATTGTGAAAAAACGATCGCTAAATTTGCCAGTTAGGTACAACGTAATTAGTCTGCTTAATTCGTTCTGCAAATACGCAGAAGCTCGCAATCCTTCAGACGACAATGATCCACGTCACTGGGACATAGGTCTTTATCTAACTGAATTAGATTATTCGATAATCGCAAACGGCTTGGGATTTTCCTACACAGATAGCATGTGCCAATCAAATGAATCATGCGCGATAATAAATTTCGGTATTACATCTGAGCTATCGTCGGGTTTTACATCGTCCCTTATTGCAGCTCATGAGATCGGCCACGCGTAAGTTTATATATAATAGTTTTACATATAAATAATATAATAATACAATATAATATATATAAATTGTAATATTAAATACAATAGCTATGTCAGCCCAGAGCCAGGTGTTGATTGCTCAGTAAAGAATAATGTTTATAACTCGGACAATTCAAGTAAGGTTAGTTTTATATTATTATAACTCCGACAATTATTTTAAGTTTATGTATACTTATTGTAAACGGTTGAATTCTGTAATCGATATGCGATAACTTTGCGGCGTATACTTATTTTTATTTTTATTTTATTTTTTCTCTCTAATGTTCAGTTGCCTTTATTAACTTTCACTGAAGATGGCCAAAATAAATGAGCCGAAACGTCTGATATAATCAACTGTTAATTATTTTTTACTGAGCAATCAACATCTGGCTCTGGGCTGACATAGCTATTGTATTTAATATAATATAATAATTTGTTTATTAAAAAAGACAACCCAAACAGACAATTCTTTTATTATTAATAATATATATAATAATTTTATGTACAAATAATACGATTTGTTGAATTGTAAAATACTTAAAAAGTAAACAATGAAGAGACTTTTTTAATAAGTGTGGTTCCTTAATTGCTCAGTATGTTAATTACTAAGTTTTAGTATAAAAATATTTAGAATAAACAATGCAAAGTAAAGCAAATTGCAAAAATTAAAAATGTACAATATTTGGTACAAAGTTTAGGAATGCGACACGATTCAATACCGTGTGACACAAAGAAATACATAATGTCATCTCAATACTATTACGACCAGACAACATGGTCCAAGTGTAGCCGTGATACAGTTAAAAAACTCTGGAATGAACTCGGGAAAAAACACGGAAAAAACTGTCTTCGAGATCGTACGACACCGGAGGAACTCGAACGATACGACCATTCGCGTTATCATAATTTGCCCGGAAGAGAATGGACCGCCAAAGCACAATGCGAAATTTATTTTGGCGACAAGGATGCGAACGTAGTCTCGTTACATGATATATGTAAAATGTTACAATGTGAAACGTCTCACAAGGATGAGTCTACATTCACGGGACCGGCGTTGGAAGGTACATCTTCTTACTGATCTCTCAAATAACTTATGATTCAATTAATCCCATTTTTTTTAGGAACGTATTGCGCAGTAGGAAAGGAATGTCGCGGAGGAGAATGCGTGCCCGTTCTCGAACCGCCATATATTCTCAGTTATTGTGATGTTGATAACTGGAGTGAATGGAAAATAAGTACTTGTAAAAGTAATTGCTTAAAGGATTCTAAAGGCGTAAGACACAAACGACGTTCTTGCATACATGGAAGGCGCAGAACGGCCAGTTGCGGAAAACCATATTACGACATGATTTTGTGCGATGACTCGAAATTGTGCGATTTTGAAAATCGCACGACAATCTCCGAGTTTGCTACTGCGAAATGCATTGAATTCAACAATGTTATAGAGCATTTAAAATTTAGTGACAAAGAGGAATTGGAAATGGGGCCGGGATTTCAGAACTTTTATAATGTCAATGAACCGTGGTTAGCCTGTACTATTCACTGTCAACGAAAAAATTTATTTTCTTTCTACGCACCACGCTTTGAAATGCTCAGCTTTAGTATCGACCCATATTTTCCAGATGGAACGCTTTGTCATTATGAAAATAGCAAGAGATATTACTGCCGCCAACATTATTGTCTGCCTGAAAGCTATCCTGAAGAATAATTGTTGAAAGATTATCGACGTGTGAACGGGGATCGAAAATATAAAAAATTATAAAAAGCGCGTAAATCAGTCTAGAATTGTTGGACAATTTGTTTGATAATAAATATTCGATCGGATAGTCTGTCGTTGTTAATATCCGTTTTGCGTATTATTCATACCGTGCTTAATAAAGACAAATGGACGAAGAATTATGTCGATTATCAGCATTTAAAACTAATTCCGTCGATTAGTAATAGCAAAAACGTAGAAAAAAACAAAGAAATTAATAAATAAATGATCAGTTGTATTTTTTTTTTATAACTGGGACATACATGCACGCGTTAAACTCGAGTTTTGTTCTGTTTTTTCCTTTTATATTCCTTTAATTGTATCTGTTTTAACACTTTCAACTCGTCAAACCGCTGTTAAAATAAAGCTATCAAAATATAAACGTCAAAACTGTCAAACGTAATCATCTCTATAACAACCAATCGATAATAAACAAAATCATCAATGCGAACTTCGTAATACACAAACCGATCGATAACCGTCGCGAGAATAAAACATATTTGATATTCATAAAACAAAACTGCACCTGTAGTGTTATTCGGTCACTCTAAATTTCTTATCAAGTAAAATTTGTTTAACATTTTTGAATAATGTACATGTTTGTGCGTAAGGTTATATATTCTACATATCGATCATAATTCCAATTTTTAAAATTCCACTGTTATCGCAAGTATTGTATGTAAAATATACAATTTATAATTAAAAAAAAAAATATATATTTATATGATATATGTAGCATAGAGAGTATTCATACAATAATGTACACCAGAGCTCGGAATTATTTCATATTTTCGGCCGATTCTCGTGGTATACGCCTCCTATCCTCACCTTTCCGCGCGCTCTAAAGCCAGCGCCGCTGAGCGTTAGGAGCGGCGCTATCCGATTAATGTAAAAATAATTTATTAAAAATATTCTTTTCCTCAATAGCAATAGTACCTTATGAGTGACGTGGAAATTTATTGAAATATTTCCACATAATAAATTTAAAATAAAAATATTTTAATGCATTTTTTTAACTTTTAATGATCAAGAGAGAAGAACCCAACATTCATCGAATAACGCTGCTTCTAACGCTCAACAGCGCTGGCCATAGAGGCTGCCGCGCGCGCGGTAAAGAGAAGAAAAGAGGTGTATACCGAAATAATTCCGAGCTCTGATGTACACAATCGTATATAAATGACACGAGTGATGTTTCTAAACCCAGATACCAGTACGCGTTTAATTCGCGATCTTCTAAAATACATCGAACATGAGTGTTATAACATAGTAGATATATAATAAATAATTTTATATACAAAAAACGTAAATTATATATTTTCAAGTATCTAAAACAGGAAAACGCGAAAAACAATATGTTTTTTATTTCGAAATTAATGTTAATAATAATTTTATTAATTGAAACGTATGCAAATATCACGCAAGATGTCGAAAGAATATTGCTGCCGGAATGGAACCCAAGAAGCGCAGATGAAGTGAGTTTTACTATACAGCTTCATTCATTGCTCAACGATCCAAACATTATTCGAGAATTATTAAGTTTTTTTTTTAATTGTTATCTAATTTATAGATACCATTGACTCTGAATGTTTTTGGAAAAGAGATTCAATTAAAACTACGTAAAAACAAACAAATAGTATCGACTATGTTTAATGTATGGAAACATGACACAATAGGCATCATAAAAAAGCTGTCTCAAATAAACGCATCGGATCCTTGCTATTATCTCCACAAAGATCATATCAGCACTGCGGCCATAAACTTTTGTCAGGAACATGGATGGGTCAGTATCATATGAGAAAGAAATAGTTCTATCTTTTAATTTTAATTTCTCTTCGTTTTATATATAAACATAATATGCAAGAACACTAACGTATATTTTTCGAAAGTAGAAAGGAATCGTCTATCTGAAAAACGATATTTTGGAAATTAGACCTTTGCTGGATGACTTTGCGTCTTTGTCCTCAATCGGTGATGTTTGCGTTAAAGATGAAATTAATATTTCATTTGGCAAACCTCATCTTATTAAACGATCATTGCAATTATCTGCTGATTCAAATTTTCATTATTTGGATAATTTTAAATTGAAACGACGTCATGTACAAAATACGCTAACAACTTTATCTATAGAATTAGCTGTTTTCATCGACAAAAAAACATATCATAAATTTTTGTCTTTTTTCGACGAAGATAAGGAAATGTTGCGTAGTATGATATTAGCGTACGTGAATCGTATTCAAGCTATGTTCCATCATCCGAGTTTGGGTGTTTCTATCGATATTTCATTGGTGTGTTTGGAAATTGTGAAAAAACGATCGCTAAATTTGCCAGTTAAGTACAACGTTAGCAGTCTGCTCAATTCGTTCTGCCAATACGCAGCAGCTCGCAATCCTTCAGACGTTAATGATCCACGTCACTGGGACATAGGTCTTTATCTAACTGAATTAGATTATTCGATGACCGTAGACGGCTTGGGATTTTCCTACACAGGTGGCATGTGCCAATCAAATAAATCGTGCGCTATAATAAATTTCGGTATTACACCTAGGCTATCGTCGGGTTTTGCATCGTCTCTTATTGCTGCTCATGAGATCGGCCATGCGTAAGTTTATATATAATAGTTTTACGTATAACTAATATAATAATACAATATAATATATATAAATTAGTAATATTAAATACAATAGCTATGTCAGCGCAGAGCCAAGTGTTGGTTACTCAGTAAAGAATAATTAGCAATTGATTATATCAGACGCATATTTATTTTGGCCATCCTCAGTGAAAGTTAATAAAGACAACTGAACATTAGAGAAAGAAAATAAAATAAAAATACAAATAAGTATACGTCGCAAGGTTATCGCATATCGGTTACAGAATTCAACCGTTTACAATTAATTACAATTAATTACAATTAATTAGAATTAAGTATACATAAACTTAAAATGATTGTCGGAGTTATAATAATATAAAACCAATTTTACTTGAATTGTCTGAGTTATAAACAAACAAATATTTATTGAAGATGGAAAAAATAAATGAGCCGAAACGTCTGATATAACCAATTGTCAATTATTCTTTACTGAGCAACCAACATCTGGCTCTGGGCTGACATAGCTATTGTATTTAATATTATAATTTGTTTATTAAGAAAGTCCAAACAGACAATTGTTTCATTATTAATAATATATATAATAGTTTTATGTACAAATAATACAATTTATTGAATTGTAAAATATTATACTTAGAAAGTTGACAATGAAGAGACTTTTTTAATAAATGTGGTTCCTTAATTGCTCAGTATGTTAATTACTAAGCTTTAATATAAAATTATTTAAAATAAACAATTCAAAGTAAAGCATATTGCAAAAAATAATAATATACAATATTTATTACAAAGCTTAGGAATGCAAGACGATTCAATACCGTGTGAAACAAAGAAATACATAATGTCATCTCAATTCTACTCTTACGTACCCTACTCTTACGGACAGGCAACATGGTCCGAGTGTAGCCGTGATACAGTCGAAAAACTCTGGAATGAACTCGGGACAGAACACGGGAAAAACTGTCTTCGAGATCGTACGACACTCAAGAACCGAAACGACCATTCGCGTTATCATGATTTGCCCGGAAGAGAATGGACCGCCAAAGCACAATGCGAAATTTATTTTGGCGACAAGGATGCAAACGTAGTCTCGTTGCATGATATATGTAAAACCTTACAATGTGAAGCGCCTGACGAAAATGAGTATACATTCACGGGACCGGCGTTAGAAGGTACATCTTCTTACTAATCTCTCAAATAACTTATGGTTCAATTAATCTCATTTTTCTTAGGAACTTATTGCGCACTAAAGAAGGAATGTCGCGGAGGAGAATGCGTGCCCGTTCGCATACCGCCAGATATTCGCAGATATTGTGAAAATGATAACTGGAGTGAATGGAGAATAAGCACCTGTAAAAGTAATTGCTTAGCGGGTTCTAAAGGCGTAAGACGCAAACGACGTTCTTGCAAACATGGGGATCGCAGAACGGCCAGCTGCGGAGGACCATATTACGACATGATTTTATGCGATGACTCGAAATTTTGCGATTTTGAAAAGCGCATGACAATCTCCGAATTTGCTACTGCGAAATGCATTGAATTTAACAATATTATAAAGCATTCAAAATTTAGTGCCAAAGTGGAATTGGAAATTGGGCCGGGATTTCAGGAAATTCATAATGTCAATGAACCGTGGATAGCCTGTACTATCCACTGTCAACGAAAAAATTCATCTTTTTTCTACGCACCACGCTTGGAAATGCTCAGCCTTGGTGTCGATCCTTACTTTCCAGATGGAACGTTTTGTAACTATGAAAATCGCAAAAGATATTACTGCCGCCGACATTATTGTCAGGTTGAAAGCTATCCTGAAAAATAATTGTTGAAAAATTATCGACGTGTGAACGGAGATCGAAAATGCAGAAAATTATGAAGAGCGCGTAAATCAGTCTAGAATTGTTGGACAATTTGTTTGGTAACAAATATTCGATCGGATAATCTGTCGTTGTTAACATCCGTTTCGCGTATTATTCATACCGTGCTTAATAAAGACAATTGAACGAAGAATTACGTCGATTATCAGCATTTAAAACTAATTCCGTCGATTAGCAATAGTAAAAATGTGAAAAAAAACAGAAAAATTAATAAATAAATGATTAGTTGTATTTTTTTAATAACTGGGACATACATGCACGCGTTAAACTCGCGTTTTTTCTATTTTTTCTATTTTTATATTCCTTTAATTGTATTTGTTTTAACACTTTAAACTCGTCAAACCGCTGTTAAAAGAAAGCTGTTAAAATATAAACGTCAAAACTGTCAAACGTAATCATTTCTATAACAAATAATCGATAATAAACAAAATCATCAATGCGAACTTTGCAATACACAAACCGATCGATAACCGTCGCGAAAATAGGACATATTTGATATTGATAAAACAAAACTGCACTCGCAGTGTTATTCAGTCACTCTAAATTTTTCATCAAGTAAAATTTGTTTAACATTTTTGAATAATGTGCAAAATGTTTGTGCGTAAGGTTATATATTCTACATATCGATCACAATTCGCAATTCTTAAAATTTCATTGTTATTGCAAGTATTGTATGTAAAATATACAATTTATAATTGAAAAGAAAAATACATATTTATATGATATATGCAGCATAGAGAGTATACGTACAATAATGTACACCAGAGCTCGGAATTATTTCATATTTTCGACCGATTCTCGTGGTATACGCCTTCTTTCTTCTTCTTTCTACGCGCACGACAACCGCTTGGGCCAGCACCGCCGAGCGTTAGAAGCGGCGCTATCCGATTAATGTTAAACAAATTTATTAAAAATATTCTTTTCCTCAATAGCAATAGTGCCTCATGAGTGACGTGGAAATTTATTGAAATAATTCCACATAACAAATTTAAAAATAAAAAAAATATTTTTAATACATTTCTTTAACTTTTAATAATCAAGAGACCCAACATTTATCGGATAGCGCTGTTCGGCAGTGCTGATCGTAACGGCTGCCGCGCACAAGGTAAGGAGAGGAAAAGAAACGTATACTATGAAATAATTTCGAGCTTTGATGTACACAATCGTATATAAATGACACAAGTGATGTTTCTAAACCCAGATACCAGTACGTGTTAAATTCGCGATCTTCTAAGATACATGAGTGTTATAACATAATAGATATATAGTAAATAATTTTACATACAAAAAACGTTAATTATACACTTTCAAGTATTTAAAATAGGAAAACGCGAAAAACAATATGTTTTTTATTTCGAAATTAGTGTTAATAATAATTTTATTAATTGAAACGTATGCAAATATCACGCAAGATGTCGAAAAAATATTGCTACCGGAATGGAATCCGAGAAGCGCAGATGAGGTACGTGCATTTTACTATACAGCTTCATTCATTGCTCAACGTTCCAAACATTATTCGAGAATTATTAAGTTTTTTTCTTAATTGTTATCTAATTTATAGATACCATTGACTCTGAATGTTTTTGGAAAAGAAATTCAATTAAAACTACGTAGAAACGAACAGATAGTATCGTCTATGTTTAAAGTATGGAAACATGACACAATAAACATCACAGAAAAGCTGTTGCAAATAAACGCATCGGATCCTTGCTATTATCTCCACAAAGATCATATCAGCACTGCGGCCATAAACTTTTGTCAGGAACATGGATGGGTCAGTATCATATGAGAAAGAAATAGTTCTTTCTTTTAATTTTAATTTTTCTTTGTTTTATATATAAACATAATACGCAAGAACATTAACGTATATTTTTCGAAAGTAGGAAGGAATCGTCTATCTGAAAGACGACATTTTGGAAATTAGACCTTTGCGGGATGACTTTGCGTCTTTGTCCTCAATCGGTGATGTTTGCGTTAAAGATGAAATTAATATTTCATTTGGCAAACCTCATCTTATTAAAAGATCATTGCAATTATCTGCTGATTCAAGTTTTCATAATTTCGATAATTTTAAAATGAAACGACGTCATATACGAAATACGCTAAGAAAATTAACTATAGAATTAGCTGTTTTCATTGACGAAAAAACATATCGTAAATTTTTGTCTTTTTTCGACGAAGATAAGAAACTGTTGCGTAGTATGATATTAGCGTATGTGAATCGTATTCAAGCTATGTTCCAACATTCGAGTTTGGGTGTTTCTTTCGATATTTCATTGGTGTGTTTGGAAATTGTGAAAAAACGATCGCTATATTTGCCAGTTAAATACAACGTTTATAGTCTGCTCGACTCGTTCTGCCAATACGCAGCAGCTCGCAATCCTTCAGACGACGATGATCCACGTCACTGGGACATAGGTCTTTATCTAACCGAATTAGATTATTCGATGACTGCATACGGCTTTGGATATTCCTACACAGATGGCATGTGCCAACCAAATATATCGTGCGCAATAATAAATTTCAGTATTACACCTGGGCTATCGTTGGGTTTTATATCGTCCCTTATTGCTGCTCATGAGATCGGCCATGTGTAAGTTTATATATAATAGTTTTACGTATAAATAATATAATAATACAGTTTAATATATATAAATTAATAATATTAAATGCAATAGCTATGTCAGCCCAGAGCCAAGTGTTGGTTGCTTAGTAAAGAATAATTAACAATTGATTATATCAAATGTTTTGGCTAATTTATCTTGGCCATCCTCAGTGAAAATTAATAAAGGCAACTGAACATTACAGAAAGAAAATAAAATAAAAATACAAATAAGTATACGCCGCAAGATTATCGCATATCGGTTACAGAATTCAACCGTTTACAATAAGTATACATAAACTTGAAATGATTGTCGGAGTTATAATAATATAAAACCAATCTTACTTGAATTGTCCGAGTTATAAACAAACAAATATTCACTGAGGATGGCCAATAAATGAGCGAAACGTCTGATATAATCAATTGTTAATTATTCTTTACTGAGCAACCATCACCTGGCTCTGGGCTGACATAGCTAATGTATATAATATTATAATTTGTTTATTAAGAAAGCCCAAACAAACAATTTTTTTATTATTAACCCTTAATCCCGACTGTTCTTTTCGGCACCTTTAATCCCGACTCATGGGTCGTTTACGTCTTTGCGTTATTTGGATCAGTAAAAACGCTTTAAAAAATCTGAAAAAATTCATGGAGCTTCTTTCAACCTTCAACTTGAAGTCCCAATCATAATATTTCGATAAAAATTATTTTTTTATATAGTTTGTTATTAAGAAATAGAGGTACGTAAGGAAAAATCACTTGTTCACTTAAAAAATCATAACTTTAAGCCAAATGAAGATATCGACAAAAATAAAAAAAGAAATTAAAGGTAGGAGGAACACCTTTCATAAAAAAAATAGTACAAAAAATTGTATTAAAAAAAAATGCTTAATTTTTGAACCTCAAAATGGCGAAAATTTGGGTACTAAAATTGCGTGTAAAAATGACTAAAATCGCGTGTAAAAATGATTTTAATGAATAAATTTGTTGTAAAGTGGGTAAAAATTAATAACAGAACAATGTTTTAGTGTGTGATGATACGTTTAATTGTGATAACAAGATATACAGCATGAAATGCGTATATCATATATATATATATATATATATATATGATATACGATATATATATATATCGTATATATATATATCGTATATATATATATATCATATATATGAGTCGTCAGATCCAAAATACAGGACATTTTCCCAAGGCCGCAGAATATTCAGAACTTCTTCTGACGTTCTCGATGCCATTTTTTCAAAAAACTACATAAAAAATTTTTTAATTTTTTTTGTGTATGCAGACTTTTTTTTTACGATTTTTTGATGATATTAAACGCATAAAAACGAAAAGTAGAAAAAAATTTATCTGCTGATTTGGGCAACGTAATCCCGACTCATGGGTCGTTTGCGTCCGCGGTGAGATTGTTATGCTCACTGTGACGACCTGCGGGGGACTGGCGCGCTGCTATTCCGTAGGCGGGTCCTCGGGGGGCATAACTTTTTTTAGGTACGGGATATGGCACGTTCCGTACCCGTTTTCAAAAATTACAGCACTTTGAAATTTCGCTTGGGTCGAAAACGACCCATGAGTCGGGATTAAGGGTTAATAATATATATAATAGTTTTATGTACAAATAATATGATTTATTGAATTGTAAAATACTTAAAAAGTTGACAATGAAGAGATTTTTTTAATAAATGTGGTTCCTTAATTGCTCAGTATATTAATTACTAAGTTTTAATATAAAAATATATAGAATAAACAATGCAAAGTAAAGCATATTGCTAAAATTATTAATATACAATATTTGTTACAAAGCTTAGGAATGCTAGACAATTCACTAGCGGATGAAAAAACGGAATACGTAATGCCACCCCAATGCGACCCTTACCTACCCCACTCTTACGGACAGCCAACATGGTCCGAGTGTAACCGTGATACAATTGAAAAACTCTGGAATGAACTCGGAAAAGAACACGGGAAAAACTGTCTTCGAGATCGTACGACACCGGAGAAACTCGAACGATACGACCATTCGCGTTATCATAATTTGCCCGGAAAAGAATGGACCGCCAAAGCACAATGCGAACTTTATTTTGGCGACAAAAATGCGAACGTAGTCTCGTTGCATGATGTATGTAAAATGTTACAATGTGAAACGTCTCACAAGGATGAGTCTACATTCACGGGACCAGCGTTAGAAGGTACATTTTTTTACTAATCTCTCAAATAACTTATGGTTCAATTAATCTCATTTTTCTTAGGAACTTATTGCGCAGTAGGAAAGGAATGTCGCGGAGGAGAATGCGTGCCCGTTCTCGAACCGCCATATATTCTCAGTTATTGTGATGTTGATAACTGGAGTAAATGGAAAATAAGTACTTGTAAAAGTAATTGCTTAAAGGATTCTAAAGGCGTAAGACACAAACGACGTTTTTGCAAACATGGGAGTCGCAGAACGGCCAGTTGCGGAGAACCATATTACGACATGATTTTGTGCGATGACTCGAAATTGTGCAATTTTGAAAATCGCACGACAATCTCCGAGTTTGCTCTTGCGAAATGCATTGAATTCAACAATGTTATAAAGCATTTAAAATTTAATATCAAAGAGGAATTGGAAATGGAACCGGGATTTCAGAACTATTATAATGTCAATGAACCGTGGTTAGCCTGTACTATCCACTGTAAACGAAAAAATTTATATTCTTTCTACGCACCACGCTTTGAAATGCTCAGCGTTGGTATCGACCCATATTTTCCAGATGGAACGCTTTGTCATTATGAAAATAGCAAGAGATATTACTGCCGCCAACATTATTGTCTGCCTGAAAGCTATGATAAAGAATAATTGTTAAAAGATTATCGACGTGTGAACGGAGATCGAAAATGCAGAAAATTATGAAGAGCGCGTAAATCAGTCTAGAATTGTTGGACAATTTGTTTGGTAACAAATATTCGATCGGATAATATGTCGTTGTTAACATCCGTTTCGCGTATTATTCATACCGTGCTTAATAAAGACAAATAAACGAAGAATTACGTCGATTATCAGCATTTAAAACTAATTTTGTCGATTAGACTTAGAAAAAAATAGACAAGATAATAGGTTATATTTGACATGTTTATAAAACGGGAAAATTAATAGATAAATAAAGTAAAGATACTTTTATTTTGTATAACACAATGTGTCGAAAAAAGATGAACGAGAACTACAAGTAACATATTATTTTATGTACTCCAATAGTTTATCAATGTTTCAGTAATATTTATATAGAAACAATTAATAAGCGAAAAAAATAAAAAGAGTTTATTACGTAATTAAAAAATATTCAATATTATTTAGTAAAAATAGTTATTTATTTATTGAACTCATAAGCTCCATAACCGAATATGGCACGATGTTAGAAACGGATAAATTGCAATATATTTCTATCTTTTTGCTAGATAAATGGCTCATGTATCTCCCAGTTATCTCGCGTGATAATAGAATTTGGAAGTATTCAGTTTGAGATCCGTTTCAGATTTAGGCTGTGTTTCAAAATTCACTGCCAGTACTGAAAATCTACAGCTTACGTTACGTATATAGGCTTGGTAGAAAGGAGTCAGAAAACAGTATGTCCGCTCTCTTCTATTAGTCGAAAGCCGGCGCATATGGGCGCATGACGTAAGCGGTTCTCGGTTATGTGCGTATGAAGCTCTCGGGGAAAAACTGGCATCATTAGGTAGTAACAGCTGATCATTCTGCGACGTGAGATTAAAAATGTTACGTTCCGTTACGAGTAAGTTTTCCGATGTAAATCACATCAATTTTTATTAATTAATTCTCATATATTCTAACGCGAATTTATGCGTATTATGCATGCACTTCTGTGTCTAATAAAATACTGTATTCGGACCGTGGATGATTGATTGTTGATCTCAGAATAAATTGTATATATGTCATTTATTCTTTATTTTCTTAATGCCGTGCTGTTGCATAAGATTGCACACCTTAATATACGTCGTAAAGCGTAGTGTGCATTTGTTTACTCGCGCAGTTATGATTTACTCTGAAATTGTCTACTGATCAAAACATTCTCATAACCTTTCAAACTCTACAATTATCAAATATATACTATATAGTGTAGTAATTTTTTTATCTTCTTGTTTTTATAGACAACGTTCCCCAGGGACTCGTGTCCCTGGTGCGCAGCAATGTTGCAGCATCAGGATGCACTGCTGCTACATCAAAGGTTCAGGCTAAGCATATGGCTACGGAATCATCTGTGCAGAAGGCTAAAGCGCCGCTGCCGGAGAAGACTAAGGTTGAACCCTACAGCCCCTTTCAGAACACCAGTAACATGGCAGAGTACGCTTTAGCTAGAGTGGACGACCTGTTAAATTGGGGACGAAAAGGATCAATATGGCCAATGACCTTTGGTTTAGCTTGTTGCGCAGTGGAAATGATGCACATTGCGGCACCTAGATACGATATGGATAGGTTCGGTGTCGTATTCCGTGCTTCGCCTCGACAGTCAGACGTGATTATAGTTGCTGGTACTTTGACGAATAAAATGGCACCAGCTTTGAGAAAGATCTACGATCAGATGCCTGAACCACGATGGGTTATCTCCATGGGAAGTTGTGCAAACGGAGGCGGATATTATCATTACAGTTACTCTGTGGTCAGAGGTTGTGACAGAATTATACCTGTGGACATTTACGTGCCTGGTAAATTTGCAGCTAATTCTTAATTGTATGTTATTAAATCGGTATTTAATTGATATTAATCTATTAACTTTTAATATTGCAGGTTGTCCCCCAACAGCAGAGGCATTATTATATGGTATTCTACAGTTACAGAAAAAAATAAAACGTATGCAGACTACACAAGTTTGGTACAGAAAGTAATGTACAGTATCTCTGACTTCTATAGTGACAAGTGTAAATTATTTGAGAATTGTAAAAATAATTGATATAATTAAGTAATAGAAGAATTATATAGGTTCTTCACAAAAGAATGTGATTGATAAAATAAATCACATCTTAATAAAAATAAACTTTTTTTATTACCATTAATAAGTTTTGCTCTGAGCATGTAGTAAAAAAAAGATGAAAACGCCAAAATGCACTTCACATCATTTACATTGTCTCTACAATAAATTAAATATATTACAATTTGCCTGTTTGTACAAAAAAAGCCATGAAGTTTGAGAAAAATTAATATGTCTCCTCTTCGTATTGATATATAAAATTTCATTAAAAGTATAAAATTGTTAGGATTAAATATTTTTTAATTAAAATACAATAGATATTGTACTCAGATCGAGTTTATCGAAATATATTCCTTTAAAAAAATTCACATTTTTGAAATTCTGAATCCTTAAATCTAGAATTCTTAAAATTTCGAATCTCAAAGCCTTTAATACTACGCAGGCTTACTGTAGCTCGGAAATTTGACTCTTGAAATTAGATTAGCGCGCCTTAGTTTAATTTATAGTCTATCTCGAATTTACTTTTTCCGAAAGAGCATACTAGAATAACATCACACAATAAAACATAAATCATATTACGTCAATGATTCGGACAGTACACTAATAGTGCTTAAATACGTGAAGAAAGACTACAAAAAATTTACGTTTGTACTATGTCTTCTTTATATGCGTGAGAACGGTGAAATATCTGTACAAACCTGTGTTTTATTACATTCTCTATTTCATTGCTCGTGTATCTTCTTACTTCTAAAAATATGTACAAAATATTTTCAGAGTAATATAAACGAGGCAAAGAATTTCACACGCAATTCTTTGTCGTTTAAGTTACCACGTTCTAAGGCCCCTTCCTTTTTTTATTTATTATTACTGTAACTAATACTAATAACAATTACATTTTATTATATACTTATACAGTACATACACATATATTGTTTTAATAAAAATACATGTACCGAAACTTAGATGTATAATAGGTAAAAAATTTGCCTTTCTCTTTCTTTAACCGACTTGCAAATTTCTGTACCTATCGTTCTTTATTACACCGCTTGATGAAGATGCTGTTATTCTGTTGTATCCACAGCCAAATTATTAATTACTTTAGTCATTAAAAGAAGAAAAGACACGATATAAGAAGAAAAGAAAGTAGAATTGTTTTAATAATCCAGTCAGTCGGGGTTCACACCTTGTTAAAAGTTAATTCGGATTCATCGTTCTTATTATAATTCGGTACATACAAAATTTAATCTAAATTTTGACACTTGTTCCCCGTTTCAGGACAACATCATTAATCACGACTCCGTCCGAGGGTTCTATCTTTTTCCCGTAAAATCTTGTATGTCACTGCACAATGATATCGTAAATATATAAAATTAAGAAAGTGTCCGATATCATTTGTCCGGTTTTAAAAACTTAATATATTAAGATTTATTCGTACTTCCAACGTGCGATAAAGACACGTGACGCTGTAACAAAAATTTCACAAAACCACATTAGTCTGAAATACGGGATCGACGAAACTTCTGAAAAAAAATAAAAATCTTTTATTTTGTATTTCGGCCTATTTCCTAGATGCGATACAAAGCTTGTCTAAACACATTGTGCGGCAGAAAAGATTTTATCGTTTGAAAAAAACGCGTCTGATATCACACAGTTAATATTTATATCCTCTTACAATTCCATCGAATGTATAGAACGGAAAAGAATTCAATGCATAAATTAATGTAACGCATAAATTGAAGTAAAGAAAGTGATATATCAATGATCTAAATGTACAATCAGTCCCTGCCGAGTAATTTCGATGATACAAATAATATAGTAAATCACTATGAAGCTCTGCAATGGAACAGCTATAACTAGTTGCCATATAATCTCTCGCAAAGATCTAACGCATTAAAAAAGAGTCTAGATGTTATATCAAATATCTCCCAATTTCGTTCACAAGTAAACCCGATTTTACACATTATAATTCTCTTAACATCTGAGACTGAGTGATGCTGAAGCGAATTTCATTTTACAACCCAATGAATAAGTGGTACAAATGTGTACGGCTTCAGCAAGCATTCTGAACAGTTTAAGTAAATGGACACACCTAAATATCTTCTTATGTCATTAGAGAATTGCTTGCGACGTAGACGGCGGTGGATTAGTCGGCAACGCGGGCACCGGGCCGTCTGTCCAATTAATGAGCGAGTGTTCGTTCATTTGAGTACTCTGAAAATGGTCCTTCAAAAGGGTTTGGGAGAATGTACAGTGCATTTGATACGCCTCGCTCTCGTGAGTAGGATCACCGCAAAGTCTATATAAATCTGTAACAACATCAATTATACATGTACAGTTGATCGAGAAAAATAGTAAACTAATAGTAAACTGTTCTTAACTTATATGTGTATACCTTTAAGAATAGCAGTAGCCCACAATTGTACATGCACATCAGGTATTTTAGAAGCTAACTGCATCGCAGGTGTAACCATATTCATCGATTCTCTACTATTTCCCAACGAGAGAAATATATGTCCCAAGAGTACAAGACTACACGAAGTCAGTCTGTTCAAGTCTTCCGAATTTGCCATTTTTAATGTTTCCCTAAGATATCGCCTAAAAATCATGTTTATATGATTACATGAATTATTTCATACTATTTTTAATATTAATGACTAAGAAGAACCAGGATTATTCAGTCCTTAGTTCTTTAATTTTCGCAAAATTGATCAAAGTTTTATATATTCCATTAGAATATAAAGATAAATTCTTACGTACTTCGCCTCGTTATATCTAGCACCGAAAAAGGCTTGGAGTCCTTGTACGTAATACGCAGCTGCCCTCAAAGAATGAGAATGTGAGGGTAAAGATTCTGGATTTATTCTTTCCAATAAAGCCCCCAGTTCGGCGTCCCTCTTCGTTCTGAGGTATACTATCGCTAGATTTAAATTTGCGAATGTCCAAAGATCCCTCTCTTGTGACGTCTGAAAATAAAAAATAAAATGACTTCTTTAAATCGGTGTCATCGATATAAATAGTCCAGCCGTCTAATTCAAGATTACATTTCTGCGTAAAATTCAACGGCGGTCAAAATAAAGAAATAAATGTTGCATTGAAAAAGCGTATATCAAATATTACAAATTACATAAAAACAATTTTTTATCTTACTCTGAGTGCAGCGGTGAACTGAGCCTCTGCGGCGTCCATACAATTCATAGACATTGCATATAAACCTATTAATGCGTGTAATTGAGGTCGATGGCCTTGAAGTAACCTAGGCTGTCGCCTGCAGAGCTGGCAAGCTTGTGAAATTTCCGCAAGCGCTACGCTTTTATTTCCCATTACAAGCCGACACATTACTATATGCTCCAAAAGCATTAATTGAAACACAGACAAAATGGGCTTATTATCGACAACTGTAAAATGGTAAGAAAAAATTTAATTTTAGGTCGTAAATTGTGAATTGATGTAAAGGAAAGAAAAAAGTGATGTACATACTTTTCAATTTTTCAATTTGAGTAAGCGCTTTATCGGTATATTTTTGTGCTTTATCCATATATCCAGCTTGCATCGAATGCATGACGGTCACTAAATAACCAAGACATATAGATGATCCTTTGGCATCCATATAAACATGTCTCCTATATTGGAACCAGTGACTACATCGTCAGAAGGCCAACTGGGAGACATTATGGTCTG